TACTTCTCCATCATTTTGCAAAATTCATTGAGGAGCGCTTTTGAACATCGCGGAAATAGCGCTTTACAAGCTAAATGATTGATTGATTGATTATAGCTATATGGGTGAATTTCTAATATTTTTTGAATTAATCATGTTTTCAAATTCTATTAAACATAATAAAACAGATTAAAATATTGAACAAAATAAATAATTAAAATAAACAAATAAAATAAATAAACAAATAGTTTTCTTGTTTGGTTGATCGATCATCAATTGAGAACTGTCTGAATTATTTAATGACCTGAAAAGTTAAGACGTATTTGTGTAGTTTCTGGTGTGCACACAGTCAAAAAAATATCGTCTTGTTTGTTTTGTATGGCTGTACATGCGTGAAGCAGATTTCTTGGTAACTGAGCTGAAGTACATTTCTTCATGTCAGTCAAGTCATTTTTTCAAACTTTCACATCAAAGAAATTATTTGAATAAATTTAAATCGAGTATACAAAATCATAAAAACATAATAATGGGAACACTTTTTTTATTTAATTAAATATCATAAAACATACAATGAAAGAAATAATAATGTCAACTGCCATAGAGTTAATGAAATGCTAAAAGTAATGATGTAATAAATTTTGTTTAGAATAATGAAATAATAATAATATGTTATTGTTAATGTTATTGTTAATGTTAGCGATTAATTTAACTCTCAAGTATTAAAAGTTCAAAAAAGCACACATCAACACAAGTATTGTTCCTTTCACAGTATATATTACATGATGAAATTATTGCTGACAAAATTAAATTGTCGGCAAAAAAATCAGTCCATGAAATATTGAAAAAATATAAATTTAATTTATTAAAAATACGTATTGGTGATATTTCCAAAAATTTGTATAATTAGATTACATTGTTTGAAGCTATCATTAAGGTTTGCTCTAAGAGTGTCTTAATATTTGTTGATCTTTTAAGCCTTTGAATTGGCCAGATTTGTTTCATGGCACACAGTGAGTTCAAGAATCTTGATGGTGTTTCCGTATACGATGGCAACGTTCGGACGTAGTTGTTCAAATATAGTTAATATCGGACGTATGTCTTCAAGGTTTACAACGGCATAAATAACGCAATCTGGTCTTTTAAAAAACTTTAAAGAATTAACAATTAACGTTTTTATTCTATTGTTTTTGATATATGTACCACTCCCTGAGACTGCAATTCAACGACGTGGTTTTAACAGGATTTCAAACGAGCTTCATCAAGAAAAGTGAGGGATTGCTTTAACATCTTTAACAATCTCGAGTCAGCCAGCAAACCGTTTGGTTTAATGAAGAAACCAGAAGTTGTTTAGCAAAATAAACATTAGATTTCTATGTTAGTACTGTTTTTAAAATTGCTTCAAATTTTCAGTCTTGTCTTTAAAGCAACATCTCTCAGTAGCGTAAGGTTATTGCCACCAAACTTTGTTAGTTTGAAATCTGAAATCTGAAGCTTTTGCTGGGTCGTTATGTCAAGAGACAAAGCGGTTTTCATCAAACTGATCACATCTATGGCTTTATCTTTGCCTTTAAAATCCAAGTAAACAGAACTCTTTCCAATTTTCACATCGGGAATCACATCATTATTGATCGTCCGCCTTGGAGCAAATAGTTCGCATGCTTCATCTTTTTTCCTCATGCCAAATGCCAAATCCGCATATTTGACCACTTGCATCATGCATAATTCAGATCAATTAACATCTGAATCGTCGACGAATTATAGCGATGATTTGTATTTTAGTCCTGAATTAGGTCTCCAGGAGTAACCGCAGCCAACATACTCTTGAATTTTAAAGAACTTTCATTAGTGGACCGAAACAGAGAACATGGGTCACCATTAACCATGGAGGGCATTTCTCTCGACCGGTAGTGCTGACGTTAATTTGTTGTTAATAAAAACTGGCATTGAATAACATAGATATATCAATGATTTAAAATGTTGTGGTACATAATGATATGATAGGATTGAACTGATAAGAAAATGATTCACTTTACCAAAACCATTTGTTTGGTCCAGAAAAGCAACGATGACATTTTGCTGGTTTTTTTGGCATCTTTAAGCAAGTGTGTTAACATGTGTGCAGGCCTGGATTAACCCTTAAGCAAACAAAGCACGTGCTTAAGGCACCAAGAGTTTGGGGGCATCACAAGTTTCCGAAATGTTGTCATAATTAATATCAAATGCAAATATAATAATGAATTACAAATTGCTGGAGGAAAAATAACAAGATATTGTTCTCAAAAACTCTTTATTATATTCGTTATCTGTATACCGCTTTTTTTAAACTCTTTGCGTTTTAAAGTTCAACATGTTTAGCTGATAAAAATGGGTTCAGTGACTGGAAAAATAATATTCAAGTTGATAATCATGAACAAAACGCTAATCACAAAGACTGTATGTTAACTTACTTAACTCGCCGGCAAGGTTCAGGTCTATGGCAAAAGCAAAAGAACAAATAAATGAAGAGTTACTTGGAAAATGTTTTGAGACGAGCAATAGGAGTTAATTGTACTATAGCTGAGCGTGGTTTGGCTTTCAGAGGAGCAAATGAGAAATTCGGATCTTTGTTAAATGGAAATTATTTAGGACTCCTAGAGCTGGTTATTCAGTTTGATCCATTTTTAGTATCACACACTGCAAAATATGCAAATTTTGGGAAAAGAAATTTTTCATGTTTATCCAATAGGAGGAACTGATTGAAATTATGTCTAAAAAAGTTTATGAAATCATTGTGAATGAAATTAAGACTTCCGGTTATTTCAACTTGTTGGTAGATTCAACACCTGATGTTTTACATATAGCTCAGTTAAGCGTTGTCTTTTGATGTGTCGTAGATGGAAAGCCAATTGAGCAATTTTTGACATTTTTAGAACTGCAAAGTCACACTGGTGAAGGTTTGGCTAAGCAAATATTGCAGTTTTTGCGTGATGTTATATTATTAATTTTTCAATATGCAGAGGTCAGTCATATGATAACGCAGCTAATGTTTCTGGGTTTCCTATAAGGACATGCAGAAAAAAATTCTCCAAGAAAATGAGTTTGCTATATACATACCCTGTGCTGCTCATTCATTAAATCTGGTAGGCAGAAGTGCCGTTGACTCTTGTTTAGAGGCAGTAAACTTTTTCTAAGCAGAGCAATTGATTTATAATTTTTTTCTCAGCTTCAACCAACAGATGGAAGATTCTGAAAGGATGTCTTGGGAATGAAACGCCGGTAAAATCCCTTTCCGACACCAGATGGAAAGCACATGCTGTTGCAACTGAAGCTATTCTCAGATCTTATTCTCAGATTATAGAAGCGTTAGAATGCATACAAGGCATACAAAAAGACCATTTGCAGAAGGGGGACACAAGAAGAGAAGCGGAAAACATTGTAAAGGAAATGCAAAAATTAGAATTAGTTTCCGTGCTTGTTTTTTAGAAAAAAATTTTACGAAGTGTTCACAGGGTCAATCAGGCTCTACAAAATGAGCACATAAACTTGAAAACCTGTACTGATTTATATTTGTTACTAACAAATCACTTTTATGAAGCCAGGAATAAATTTGAAATATTTGAAAAACTGCGAAAGAAATAACACCAGGTATGGAATATAAGTAAATTATGACTCATAATCATAAACGAAAGACACTGATTGTTGATGGTAATGCCCCTGAGGTATCTCTGAATGCCAGAGACAAATTTTGTACATTTGCTTTCCACATTATTGTTGACAAACTTGAGACGGAGTTGAGTAAATGAGGAAAGATGTATAATGATATAGCAGATTGATTTTTTTGTTTGGTCAATGTACCACAAACATCACAAGGTTGTGAAAGTTTAATAAAGGCTTATAAAAATCTGAACAACAATTTATGTACTGAACTACAACAGTTCCATTCATATATTCGCCACAAATTTCGTGCATCAAAATCGGAGAACAACGCATTAAATCTTGCAGAATTCTACAAAGTATTTATTAAAGACAACATCGTGTGTGCTTTCAGAATGTAGAAATTGTCTTGCGCATGTTTTTAACATTAATGATTACAAACTATTCAACTGAGTGCTCTTTTTCTCATTTAAAACGTATAAAAAATCCATGCAGATCAACTATGAAACAAGAAAGGCTGGAATCTTTGTCTCTGCTGATGATTGAGGCAGACTTGTTGCGCAAAATAAATTTTGATGATGTTGTCAAAAACTTTGCCAAACTTAAAACTAGAAAGAACTTCAAAATGTAAATGTGTGTTGTTGTTTTTTGTTTTTTTTTCATTTCTCAATTTGTAATATTATTACTAAATAAAAGAATATTAATTTTTTTAATCGATCACATTATTGATTTTTTATACGATCGACGGTAGAATAAATACGAGTATAAACAATTTTTTTCTTCTGTTAGTTTTCTTGCACAATATTAAACCAACCGACTGTCAATCAGAAGGAGGCACCAATTTGGGTTTATGCCTAGGGCACCAAGATAGCTTAATCAGGCCCTGCATGTGTGTATGTTCTGCTAAGCCATCAACCTTTCTTGGATGCTGGTGTTGATAAATTCATTTTGTTGAAGAAATTGTTAGACTATTATTTGTAAATGAAAATAAAACTTTGTAGAGGACAGGTTATTAGGTTATAGGTCGGAAATTAGCAGGGTTGCTGGAGTCAACGTATTTTGTAAATCAACATCATTAAGCCTTTCCTCCAGCAATCTGAAATTGTCGATGAAACACAAAATTTCGACAGCAGTCCGTTAAGGAAAGTCCTGAAAATTGATATTTTGTAAAAGTTATAATCGACATCTGGTTCAGTTGGCATGGAGAAGCTTTAGATTTACTTTTTCGAATGTTTGTCAATATTTTTTCATTTTCCTTTTAGGCCGGTGTGGCCATTGAACTTTGGCAAAGGCAAAGGTGCAATCCAGCTGGAAGTTGCAAACTTATCTCTATCACTCTTCTTCACGTTGCTAAAATATTTACTATCGTTTTCAACAACGAATAGTGGGGGCGGTGATGTAGTTGATACAAACGTTTTCTTGCATGTTTGCTAAAAGTTGTTTGACAATTGAAGTTTGATATATCTGATCGACCGCTAAGTTTTGCTAGCTTTACCCATTGAAGTTTGGATCTGATTTGTTTGCTCAAGGTCATTTATCTCATTGATATAATTTTCATTGTTGCGACCGAGAATTTTCAGATTTTTCTTCAATTGTTTGATGTTAGTGTTGTTGTTTCAACGTGCCATATGTTGTAAGTAGTAGTATATTGAATTTTGTATATATATATATATATATATATATATATATATATACAAATATATAACTTCCTAACACTCTCAAGAAACAGGCCACATCCAGTGATCGCTGAACAAACAATTTGTCTCGCTTTGAATCACCTTCTTTTATACTGTAAAATGTGCCAAACGTGCCAGAAAGTTTACCTATTAACATATCACCATGTGAGTTATATATAGACTTGCCAAGTAACACGTTGCTCCGAACCTGGGATTGTTGAAAATCGGAAGCTTTACGCTCAAACAAGCTCGTCTGTTAACTATTTAAACTCGCAATTTTTTTTCTTTCTACACAACCGTATCCAGTAAGACGCTTGCTCGGCTGTATGTCCTATGTTCTTCATTCAACTCGATCATCTTTTACCTGCTAAACCCAAATCCTTCAAAAAGCTGTGCATTGAACAACCAACAACACCTCTGGCACCAACCTCAACTGCGTACAACAAACACCGTAACCCACGTTGTTTTATTTCACCAACAAGCTTTTCATACTTGGCTGTTTTTATAGCGTGGCTTGCTGCTAAATTAGCCTCATACGGTACAGTCAGTTCGACCAGAACAACAGTGTCTGCCGACAACGACTGTACCACCACGTCGGGTCTCGCTCCTGTATCCTTGCTCCTGAACGCTGGGTAATTTCTCATGCCATCCATATCTGCCATGACTTTCCAATCTCTGCCGTTATACAGAACACTTCTTCCATTGCATACTTTATTTTTTGTTTGAACCAGTTCGCCCTTTCTTAGAAAACGGATTTTTCTTAGTTTGCCCGGTGGCCTTGAATTCACCTTGTCACAAACATTGAAAATGAGTTCCACTAGTGTTTTCGATACCTTATTGTGCTTCCACGTATAACGTCCATGACTGAGCGCGTACTTGCAAGACGCCATTACGTGGGCCACCGTTTCCATTTTTGCACATAAGCTACATTTAGCTTCTCCTGTCACCTTCCATCTAGCAAGGTTTGCTCCTGATGGTAACTGATCATACATGGCTCTTATAATGAACGCCAGTTTTAACGGAGCCATGTTCCACATATCATTCCACGTTAAACTTCTCTGTAGCACACCCTCCCAGGTTGTCCACCTACCTTGTTGATTTTGTTGTACGGCTGTCACCACTCGTTCCATGTCGTATTCTTTCCTTCTTTCGTTTATAATCATCTGTTAATATTTTAATTATTATTAAAATAGTAATAAAATTACTATTGTCACTAGAGAAAAGGATATCATTGTATATTTTGAGTAAAAAAGTTTCAGTACTGTGAGCAGGTCTGAAACCAGATTGAGATACAGGTAGCAAGGAGCTAGAGTTTAAATAAGATGACAATTGATTAAAAACTACTTTTTCTATTATTTTAGAGATGAAAGTAATATTAGTAACAGGTCTATATTTAGATAAAGAGGTAGGATCTAAGGATGAGTTTTTAAGAATAGGAATAACAATAGAATTCTTATAAGAAGTTGGAAATTTGGAGGTGGAAAGAGATAAATTAACTAATTTGAGAATGATAGGATAAAATATTGAAGAAAATTCATTAAGTAAATTAGAAGGAAGTAGATCTAGAGAACAGGCTGTAGACGACATAGAATTATTAATTTTAGTAAGTTCTAGAAGATTTAATAGAAGGAGGAGCGCTGTTGAACAACGCGGAAATAGCGCTTTATAAACTAATTGATTAATTGTTGATAATTGATTATAAACTACTTTTTCTATTATTTTAGAAATAAAGTAATATTAGTAACAGGTCTATAATTAAATAAAGAGGTAGGATATAAAGATGAGTTTTTAAGAATAGGATTAACAATAGAATTCTTATAAGAAATAGGAAATTTAAAGGTGGAAAAAGATAAATTAACTAATTTGAAAATGATAAGGATAAAATATTGAAAAAAATTCTTTAAGTAAATTAGAAGGAAACAGAACTATTAGAAGGAACTAGAGAACAATTTGTAGATGACATAGAATTAATAATTTTAGTAGATTCTAGAAGATTTATAGGAGTAAATACAGAGAAAGATTCAGTAGTAAGTTTTGTAAAGTTATGAGGAGAAAAATTAGAATTAGATGTTCTTAAAAAAGTAATTTTATTTACAAAAAAGTCATGAATTTGCTGAGCAGAAAAAGATGAGTGAGAGGATTTCTTATAAAGAAGTTTAGATAGAACAGACCGCCTATTTTAAGAATTTCTAAGAAAAGTAGACGGTTTAGAGAATAGTAGATATTTATAATTAATTAATTCAGATTCATAGATAGAATAACGAGAGTTAGATGGATTCAACCTATAGGCTTTCTTCAGTCTTCTAACACTTTTCTTAGCTAATTCACAAGCATAATCGAACCAAGAAGCCTTACGAGAATAGAGCCAATAAGTAAAAGATTTAAGAGGAATAAGCTTATTAAGAATAGAAGTAACCTAGAGATTAAAATCATAGACAAAATCATCAACATCAGAAAATAAGGAAGTAACAAAAATAGTTTCAGTAAGGGATGATCAAAATAAGGAAGATAGCCGCGATATTAATAGGCTTAGAAAAATATGAAGCTATAATAAAATCAATAATGTTACCAGAAGTATGAGTAGGAAAAGAACAATATTGTGTTAAGTTAATTATTAGTTAATTAAATATCATTAAATCTACGAGTGTAAGAACAAGATAAGTTATTAAAGTGCAATGCAAGTTGAAGTCACTGGAGATATAGAAAGGAATAGAAAAAGAGTAGAGAGATTCAGCGAGTAAGTAAAATTTATCTAAAAATGTAGAGAGAAGAAGGAGGTAGATGGATTATAGCAATATAAAAAGATAGAGAAGACGACTTAAAAGATACAAGACATTCAAAAGACAAAAAGTTAAAGGAAGCATTAATGATTAATGGAAGCAGTAAATAGAGATCTATAGAATAGACAGACAGAAGATGAGAAAAGATCTTTTGGAGGTCTAGAAAGTTCAAGAAAGCTGTAAGAATCAGGAGTAGCAAGAATAAGAAAGGGAGAGTTAGTCTTCGTGCCAAGTTTCAGTAAGACTAAAAAAAATAAGGTTAGGAGGAAGAAATTATTTGATAGATAAAGAGCGATTTTTTATTAATAGATCTTATGTTAATATTAAATAGTGAAAATGTAGATAGAAGTAGGTTGAAAACTGTTAATTTTAAATCTAGCTATACTATTTTTATAATAAATAAATAAAAAATTTAAAATTGTTTTCGTTCGTTATGAATCGTTCTCGTCGATGTTTTCTTTTCTAAAAGATACCACATTACGTTTAAAGATTGGTTCAAGAAATTTTTCTTTTGTTGGCCCAAAAGTATGGAACAGTCTACATTGCTACTTGCGACAACCTGGTCTCTCCGTCAACAATTTCAAAAAGCTGTGTAAGACTTATCTCTTTGATCAATGAAAAGTTTTCTTGTCATTAAAATTGTTTTAACCATTGTTTATGAGTGCTTTTGAGATAACAATTTGAAAAGCGTATATTAATACTACTAATAATAATACTACTAATACTAATGGTGCCATTAACAGATCGAAATCCATCGTGGATACACCGTCCCCTGGTGATATCAATTTCGTCAATAAAATAATTGAGATCATTAATCACTTTTGGCCTAAAAATGTGTGTTTGTTTTCGTTCGTTATGAATCGTTCTCGTCGATGTTTTTTATTGATGTTCGGGCTAATGACAATTTTTATAATTCGGTCTATTAAAATAATTAGATTTATAGTTATGAATTTGATTTTATTTATTAAATCATACGTTTGGAATGTCAATTTTCAGAACAGGTAATAAAATCAACAGGCGGACCCAGACGTGATCCGAACTAACAATCAATCAAATCAAAACCAAAAAGCTTTTTTTCTTTTTTGAAAATCAAAGTATGTATGTATATGAGTAGACTTATTAATTACGCCGAACCTGGCCACATGGCAGCCATTTTCGAAGGTGAATCAAATGCA